CTCTTCAGGGGATAGCTAATCTTTCAAAGTTCAGCAGCCTGGTTTTTGTCCCATAGGAGATTTGTGTAAAGTGTTCAGAAACTCTGAGCTTCTTGTCCTTCCACCCCAGGCCTTTCCACCTGCCGGTGCCCTTCCCTCTCCTCTGTGCCGTTGGACACTGGCGTGGTCTTTCTTGCCTTGCCCTCCTTTCCCCGTGGTCTCTTCATTCGTGGGCATGAGCTCTCACCAAGTGTCAGGCACTGTGCTGGGGCATTATATATGTCACCTCATGCAGCCCTCCCCCTAGCAGCCCTGTGACAGAGACGGGGACAGAGGTACCACGACCACGCGGATGTTTGGGAGTGTGGGACCCAGGACAACCTAGCACAGCCCACAGCAAATAGTGTATATTCTACACGTGTGCCACGGGCCGGCAGAGGATGACCCACCGGCCACATCTGACCTGTGGCCTGTTTCGGATGGACTTGCAAGCCAAGAATGGTTTTGAAAGGGTTGCAATAAAGAGGAAGAATATGCAACAGAAACCAAATGAGGCTCTCAAACCTAAAATATTTACTCTCCGCCTTTTTAGAATGAATTTGGCAAGGCCTGGTGTATCATATGCAGAGTCGGCCCGGATCCTGGAGCCACACTGCCCGGTTTCTGGTGCCTCTGCATCAGCCTCTGTGAAGGGGGGATAGTCTGTGAGACACAGCTGCCTCCCGGGGTTGTTGGAATTAAATGAGATGAAGAATATAAAACACCTAACTTCAAGTAGGCTTCTTTGGAAGTATTGGGGGAGGAAATTTCTGGCCCTTGGCCAGGCTTCTCGACCCAGTGGGCATGAAAGCCCTGGCTGCAGGCCTCTGGCTGGCCCGGGCCCTCCATGCGAGTGTCCTTTGGCAGGAGGGGAGGGACCTGCCAGCCGGTGTGCCGCGTCCTGCCAGCGGGGGTGCGGGGGGCACGGGGGGGTGCGGGGGTGGCTCAGGTCCGCCTTCCTCCCGCCTGCACTCCTGCTGACCGTCAGCTGCTGCCACTCCCCGGGCCCGGGCACCAAGCCCACGCCAGGTGCTAAGCGAGGCCCAAAGGTACCAAGCCGCTTGCACTTCCCCACCTCGGGCCTCACACCACTGTAGGAGCCACAGCCCCGGGCCCGTCCTCTCTGCGGGCATTTCCTCACCCGTGGGCCAAACACGGAGACATCTGTGTTCCCCCAAACCCAAGCTTTTGGCCCGCGATTGCTTTCCTACTGGGGGGAAGGAAAAGGAAGGGTAATCCCTGGCCAGCCAGCCTCCCCCTGTGAAAAACAGATTTTCAGTGGATAAAGAGTGAAATGTAAAGATTAAATAAAATAAAATAAAATCATTGAAAAATCAAAAAAAGAATATTTCCTGATAGGAGAGGGATGGGCTTTCAATTCTTAGAAGCAGTAGAAGAAATTATAGAAGATCAATGAATTTTATTACAAAGAACCAAAAAGCTTATGTTTTATATCAAAAGACCCAAAACAAAATTTTAAGTCGAACTGAGAAAAAATATTTATGCCAGATATGGCAGAGAAAGAATTAATATTTTTAAAACAAAAATCTTTAAAACAAGAAGGTTCTTAACAGAGAACAATAACAAATATTTATACAATACTACGTGCCGGGCACCATTCTGAGTACTTCATACGTACTTACTGATTTAATTCTTGTAAACAAGTTTATGGTAACAGTACTATTGTCCCCATTTAACAGATGAAGGAACTGAGGCATAGATGCTAAGTAACTTGCCCAAGGTCATTCAGCTAATAAATGGAGGAGCAAGGGCACCTGGGCGGCTCAGTTGTTAAGCGTCTGCCTTCGGCTCAGGTCATGATCCCAGGGTCCTGGGATCGAGCCCCGCATCGGGCTCCCTGCTCAGCATAAAGCCTGCTTCTCCCTCTCCCCCTCCCCCTGCCTGTGTTCCCTCTCTTGCTGTCTCTCTCTCTCTCTGTCAAATAAATAAATAAAATCTTTAAAAAAATAAAAAAATGAATGGAGGAGCTAGGATTTGAAGCCAGACCATCTGGCCCTTGGGTCTGACACTTTAAAGCCTTCTATACTAAACAGAAAAAGATGACGAAGCAGACAGTACACAAAAGAGGAAATACAAATATCTGAGAAACATAAGAATTATCTTTCAGTTTCTCTGGCAGTAAAGTACCAATAAAAACAATGAGATACTTTTTCTGTCTTCAAATTAGAGAAGATTTTTAAACGTTATAATAAGCAATAAATACTGGCAATTCTGAAGCGCAATGGAGACTTCCGCAGGTTGCTGTAGTTGTATTCAGGTGGCCTTTCTGAGAAAATACTGTGGAAGCATTCAGAACAGCACCCAGGAATCTCAAAAAAGTCCATGCCAGTTGACAAGGAATTCCCATTCTAAGAATCTAATTTGAGAAAGCAGTGAGACAAAGATTCACATGCAAAGATGTTCATAGGAATATTATTCCAAATAATGAAAGATTAGAAACAACCTGTGTATCTGATAATAGGATACAGGTTAAGGAAAACTGTTGAATCTCCACAGTGGACAATTAGGCAGTCATTTTGAAGGAATTTGTTTAACAAAAGATACCAGAGGCAAAGTGAAGAGACATACCATGGACTTGTGGGAGAAGACACTTAGAATGCATAGCACGGTGAAGATTTATGTAAATAAAAGAACACACAAAAAAACCTTACAAATCAGTAAGAAAAGGGCAAACAAAAACAGGTAAAGAATGTGCAGAGGCCATTCATAAGAAGAGGCAACTCAGGGCGAAACGTGAAGTGACAATCCCTCTCACTAGTAGTCCGGGAAATGCAGATTCATGCGTTGTACTTAGCAGAATAGCAAGAGTCTAACGACAAAGAGGAAGTATTCAGAGCCATCACTGATGGGGCTGGATGGGCCTGCAGGCACTGTGGACAGCTCTTAGGCCATACCGAAATTCAAACACGTGACTCCACCACCCTCACACTTCTAGGGTCCAAGCCTGCGCCAACATCAAGGAGACATGCTCAGGAACGTTCATGGTAGTGCTGCTTATAATAGAAGCGAAATTACTGTTATTGTATAATATTGTACATTATATATTGCATAATAAAATAGCAACAGTCATTAAAGAACTGTCCAGTAGAAGGGAAATGGATAAGTAAAATCTGACTTCTACATAATGGGATACTATGCACAGTAAAATAAATGAACTAGATCTCTAACTATTGGCTCATATAAATTTCAAAAAACAATGCTGAGTGTAAAGAGCAAGTATAAAAAAGATGTCTCGATGATACGATTTACGTAAATGTTTAAAACAAACTAAAAACCTGACATAGTATTCAAGGACAAATAGGTAGAAGGTATAAAACCAGCACGCCAGTAATGAACACCGGCTTGGAAAGAGTGGCTTTTTGCTGGGAGACATAGCTAGAGGGCAAGAATAGGGGGTGGGGCTGAGACTGTTTCTTTATGATTTTTTTTTTTTTAAGGGGAGGGTTGAGGCACATACAGCAAAATGTTGACTAATGTTCTAAGTCTGGATGGGGTATGTGTCTTTTCTGTTAAATTATTTTCTGTACTTTTCTGCATATTGAACAATTTCAAAATTCCGCAGTATTTTTAATTAACTTTTTTAATAATTTGCGGTTCTGTGGAGAAATACTTGTGTTCTAATAGTGAGGGACGAAAGCAGGACAAAATATACACAAATATTTACAAATTTCACAATTAAAGGTCTCACTAAAATATTCATACTCGTGGCAAGACTCCAAGTCTGCTTTTTCTTTACACTCATGCATATTTTCCGTTTTTTGTCATGAAGATGTATTAGTTTAATAAACTGGACAAAAAAATATTTTTGACGACTATAGAAAAATATGAGTGAGTTTGGCCCCAGGAAAGCATCTAAAAGCTAGGAGGAGGGTATATGATGGGGTGTGGGCATCACAGGCTGTCGGAGAGATCTGTCCTTGGATGCTGGCCTGGAGACTCTCTGGCTCTATGACTGCATTCGTTCCATCTTTTACCCCATCAGTGAGCCCCTCTTGAGCACCCGGCGAGGGACACAGCAGTAAACGGGACATCCACGGTCCTTCCCTCCCTGTAGGGCAGTTAGCCAGTGAGAGGGACCAGTCGCCGCCCAAGTCATCGGTCCACCGCCAAGTGCGAGGGCCCCCATGAGGGCAGCGTCCGGGGGTGATAACAAGGATCCGAGTCGGCTTGGGTGGCCAGGGAATCTGGCTGCAGAGCGACACTGAACTGGAATTTAAAAAAAGATGAGGACGTCCGGAGCCCAGTGAAGAGAGGGTCTCGAGAGAAAGAAAGGCTCCACGGGGCCCATATAAGGAAGTGGGAGAAGCCAGCGGCTCTGGAATGCAGGGGGTGGGGGGACAGTTGCACGAGGGAGGCCAGCAAGGTCATCAGGAACCAGATCGCTCGGGGCCTCACGGGCCAAGGAAAGGCCCTGAAGCGTGTGGGAAGTCCCTGAAGGCTTTGGAGCTGGGGAGTGATGTGGTCAGACCTGCAGTGGTCAGAGATCACCTAGACTCTCGCTGAAGATTGGGGTGGATGGTGAGCGGCCCAGTTAGTCCGTTGGCTGTTGGCCTGACCTCACGTGTGGGAGAATGGGGTCGGAACCAGGGGGTGGCAGCGGAGATGGAGAGACCCTGAAGGATTTGAGGTATTTCTGAAGGCAGCGTTGGCAGGTCTTGGATCGTGGAGGGTTGGGGCCGGTGGTAGAGGAGGGAAGGGCCAAGGAGGAAAGCCAGGTTTGGGATGGCAACGGCTGGGCGTTGGTAGGAGTGGGAGACACTGAAAAGGCTCTAGGGGGCAGGGTGGAAGTAGTGCGCGTGCTGTAGTGTGAGCAGGGGTAGTGAGCATGCCACCAAGTGTGGTTGAACTTTGGTTTCTTCGTGTGTAAACTGGGCTTTATTGTGCTCCCTGTGCCCCCAGGGTGAGTATTTCAGCCCTGTTCTCAAAACCTCTTCTAGAGCAGTCTTCTCTCTCTTTCACAGGAGGGACGTGTTACTCTTGGGGCTGGAACGAGCATGGCATGTGCGGGGATGGCTCCGAAGCCGACATCCGGGCCCCGAAGCCCGTGCAGGCTCTGTGGTCGTCACTGGGACTCCTTGTGGGCTGTGGGGCTGGCCACTCCCTGGCCCTCTGCCAGTTGCCGGCCCTCCCTGAGTTGGTCACTGGCTCTTCCCTGGATGCCCCTGAGGACGCTGAAGATCAGGAAGCCATGGACAAAGAGAGAAGCCGGAAGGAAAGGCAACCAGACACTTCTACCCAGACCCAGTCTGGCAGGTCCAGAAATGGGGGGCTTGGGACAGAGGCCCTTTAATAAAGCGACTTTTCCCACCCAACGTGTTCCCAGAGGATTGCTTGGTCAGGTTGTAGGGTTGGTCTGAGAAGGGCCCTGGAGGCACTATGGTTGGGCTGACCACAGGCCAGGATGATGGGAGGCCGCCTGGCCAGTGTCTGGGGTCCAAGGACACAGGCAGATGGGAACAAGGACCCTCATGAGGGCAATAACAAGAACCCAAGTTGGTTGCATGGCTGGGGAATCTGGTCTCTAAGCGACATTTAAGCTAGAATCACCAAAGGACATGGAAAACAGGCTCCAGCCTGTCTTCACCTGGTGTGGACAGAAAACCCAGCCCCATCCCCTGTGGTTGGTATGGTCCAGCAGCCTTCGACTCTCAGGGCCCAGATGGTTTGAGGAGATGGAGGTACCCTGGTCAGGCAGGTGGGTACTCGGACGGGAAGGAGTTCTTGTCTTGGTGACTAGGTGCCGGGAGAAGGGAGAAGGGAGAAGGCTCTGGACGGGGGGCTGGAAGGAAGTGGCGATGAGTGCGTGGAAGAAGAGACAGGAATTCTGGGAAGACCTAACAGAGGAGACACCTGGGACAGACAAGGGAATCTAGAACCAGTGAACTCTCAGAAGATCGGTGTCTTCATCCAAGCCAGGCAGGAGCCTGGATCTGGTCTGTATAATTTATAGCCAGGCTGTATAGTTTCAGATGAGGGATGGGCCACAGCATGGGAAGGGGAGGCTGACCCTAGCCCCTGACATCTGCCCCTCAGCCCTCCTTGCCTCTGCAGGAGGAAGGCGTTCAGGTAAAATGGGGACCAGGCCAGACCATAGGCCCCAGGCTTCCCCAGGTGGCAGCTGTGGCCTGGGGGGACATAGTGCCTCTCTGCCTTAGAAAATGGCTTTTCTGTGGGGACTGTGCGGCGGTGTCACCAGCTAGCTAGCCCAGTCTGTGGCACACCACCTTTCCACACCACCTTCCCTCTGTGACTCAGGAGAGGATTGGCTCTGTGAGGGCTAGGCTTTAGGAAGTTACAAAACCCCAGGACGTCAGAGGACCAGAGAGATGACCTCCTAGCCTAGTGGCCTTCAAAGTGCATTTGTTGGAGCCCTAGAAGTCTCCTGAGAATTCAGTGTCCACCTGGTGGGCCATGGGTGAAGGAAAGCCATGTGAACAGAGGTCCGGGTCCCCACCCTCCACCTTATTCACAGCAGCTTTATTTTCATCTATATTATGTACTGGACTTCACACAAGATTTCACTTGACAAGGGGTCCTTGAGAAAGTTTTGAAACCACTGGTCTTATCCAACATTTTCGTTATTCATTTGGGAAAACAGAGGCCTATAAAGGGGAAGGGGCCACATACATCACTCCTGGCCCAGGGTCCTGATTGGGAGTTGACCCATCCAGAGCCTTGAGCCAGACCAGGGGGGCAGATGAGGGGCACCCCTGGGACCAGGAGTGGGTCGGCTCAGTGGAGTGGGGATGAGGCAATCCTGAGCTCCCCAGGCCTGAACCTAGAGACCACCCATAGCCCCTGGCTGCCCTTGAACACCAATGCATGGAGTCCTGCTCCCGATATTGTATCCTAGACACAGCACTGCGCTGGCCAGCAAAGCCCTTGGGTGCCCGCCTCCCAGAACCAGTAGAGGCTTGAACGGCCTCTAAGCACTTCTGCAATGAGAAGGACATCTCTGTGCACTCGGAGCTGCTCTTGCCAAGATTCCTATCTTGCCAAGATGGAGCAATGGATGGCCCAGGGATGACCCATACTGGAGCAAGCCCGCAGTTACTGCCGCCCCCCCCCCCCCGCCACAGTCCTACAGGCGAAATGATCAGCATCAGACACATAGGCCGGAAAGCAGCCCCACGCGGCACAGTACCCAGGCCCATACTTCCCAGACGGGCTTACTGCTCACGGGGAGCCAGCACACTGTCTCCCGCAGCACGGGGCTCCCTCCAGCCTCCTTCAGCACCGGCTGGAAGAAGCCCCGGGTCCAAGTCTTCTGCTGAGCCCCGGTGCCTCTCCCAAGAAAGACACATCCCAGGGCTCCTTCCCAGCCTGAAACGAGCAGGCTGTGTCAGCCCTGAACCTCAGACTCTGGCTCAGAAGCTGATTCAGAGCCTTCTTGCAGGCCTGCGGGCCCAGGCCATCTGCACGCAGTGCAGTGAATGGCTCCCGGCTCTAGACGGCACCTCGGACGGCTCCGTCACCTCGGGTTCCTCCACGGTGCCTTCCCTACGGCAGCCGCCGGGCTTTCTGCAAGCCCGTCCACTGGGCCTGATGAGTGCCCAGAAACTCCAGGGGGTTGTCGACAGGGTTGCCCAGATGTTTTCCGGACCCTTTGATTCCTGTGGTCATTCTCAGACTTGGAGATGTCCACGCCCCTCATTCCAAATAGACCCTGGGCTCTTCGAGAGCAAGGGACCCGGTCTTGGTGGATTCTGGAACCCCTTCACCAAGGATGGGCCCTGATCCACGGAGGAAGCGCCCGGGAAGTGTTAACGAATGAACTGATGAGTACACTCTTAGGGCCACCATGAGGTGGGGAGGCTGAGTGAGGGGGTCACACCCCCTCCCACCCGCCTGTCGTCTGCTTGTCTCTTACACGTGGGTGAGGACTGTACCGTGCAGTCAGAACTAGGTGATAGTGAAGGTCAGTGTCCTCCGCCAGGTTAGCTAATGTGCCATGGGGGCCAGTGCGAGTAAATACCCAGCCATTTTTAAAAATTCCTTTTTTTCTGATAGGCCAAGTAGATTGGCCTTTGTATTCCTCCCGCATGAGAAGGAGGAAGGGAACAGAAGAGGGGCATGAGCCCCACCGTGTGCGCACAGGTCTTGGGCCTGGCGTCTGCGGAGACTGTGTATGGTCACCACATTCCAGGTGTGAGTGGGCTGTTCATACCCTCACCTGTCTGCCACATACTCTCCCTTCTGGGCCACAGGCAGCCCCCCTTCCCTTGATACCCCCACCCTCTTGGTTCCAGTAGGCCGTCAGATCCAAACTAGATGAGGCTGTGCTTGCAAAGGTGAATCTGGGCCCTGGGCTCAGAGGAAAGCGCTCTTTCCCTGCCCCTGCCCTCCCCCCACCCCACCCCCACCCCCAGGCACCTGCTTCTTCCGAGGAAAGAGACTTAGTAATAGATGGGACTTAGGAGTTAGCACATTAGGTGGGACACGGTGGGACGGACAGAGAGAGGGAGGGCAGTTGTTCAAGCAGGAGAGTGAGGTGGCCAGACGTGTGTATGGAAGGCTCTGAGCAGCATGTAAAGTGGCCGCTTCCCTCATACCCACGGTGCTTCATGAAGGACGGCAGGAGGCCGGGTCCTGAGGGCCCTGGGATTTAGGACCAGACACGCTAGTGTTCCTATCAATTCCGGGTTCCAGTCCCAGGAGGGCCCCAGTTAGCTTAGCTGAGACAGCTTCACCTGAGCCCTAGAGTCAGCCCGCCGAGGTTAAAATCTTCCTTCATCTTTCATTGGCTGGGTGCCATTGGGCCAGTTACTTAGCCTCTCTGCATCTGTCCTCTAGGCTCTAAAACGGGCTGGTAGAATTACTATGGCCTGTCATTAGACCATGTTTCCCAGATGCCCCCCATGTGCAGACGCCCGGTGTATGTTCATCTCTTTTCCCCATTAGCTACTATGTCCTGGAAAACCCACATTGCAGATGGCTTTGTGTTTAGTCCACTTGAGGCCACCAGAGGTGCTTCCTCCAGGCTGGGTCCCAGTAGAGTGAACACGATGTTCCCTGCGGCAGCTGAGGCTGCCTGGCTTTCACATCCCGATACTTGTGAACGGCTGTGACACACATAGTGTGACCTGGCAGTTCTTTGGCTGCATGGCCCCTTGGGCCTTACTGTACCCATTGCCCCACCAACCCCCCGCCCTTGGTTCCTGGGCCACACAGGCAAAGGCTCCAAGGGGACAAGGCACTGCTGGATGAGAATTCACACCCACCTTCAGCCTCCCCCCCACCCATCTGACGGCTGACTCAGGCCATGCTGGGGGCATCAAGGGAGCTGAAATCCAGGGACAGTGACACCCACTTGTTTGTGGCCCTGGGAAGACCATTCTCTTCTGCGGACCTCACTTCCTCATCTATAAAATGCTCAGAGGCTGACGGCCATGACCGTTAGGGACTTTCCACCTGAACATTCCTGGATTCTCCAATGAATAAGAAAAGAATTGGAACCCAGTCCCTACTCTATCCCCCATGAGAAACCAAGTGAACAACCCGTGCAAATCAAGATCCCCAAGAGAGGGCTCCTCCCCCTCAAGATGCCTCCCAGCTGAGTGTGATGTGTGCAGTAACGTGGTCTGGCAAACTGGACGCAGCAGGGTGCAGCTGGGCAGGGCACCCAGACCTGTCAGTCAGCCCCCTGCCTCTGCCACCATCAGATTCATGAACGGCCCTACAAGGGGCGTGATGAAGGTCTGTACGGGGACTGGGAGCTCTGACATGGCCAGATTCAAGGAGTCATCAATATGGCAGGACTTGCAGAGAAGTTTCCGTGTCAGCGAACCCCCTAGAGGCTGTGCTCCTTTTAGGGTCAAGTCTTGGTATGCCCCATCCCTTCTGAGAACTGTCTCCCTCCCCGGACCAAACTGGAAGAGACTGTTTTTTCCCAGCAGGAGGACAGCCAGCACCTTGGCTAAGTCCTCGAGACCAGAGGTGCCAGGGTTCAGGCTTACCCCAGCTCAGCCCAGCCCAGCAGGCCTGATCACAGGCAGAACCGAATCGTGACACTGCCCAGGGCAATAAAAATCCGAGAATCCGTGCTTCATCTCAAAAGTCAGCTTTTTATTATTGAGGGCCAGGGCCCAAGGAGGGGAGGGTGTTGAGCTAAAGCAGCATTGCTCTCTTTCCAGGAAATGTTGCGAGCTGCAGTGAAAGCTCGAGATGTTGCATTTTTTTTTCAACTCAAGCATGTGTTTTTCAAAAATATCATCCTTCCCCACCCCCCACCCCACCACTAATTTTAGAATCAGATCAAAGCCAAGCTACTGTCCTCTGTTTCTGTTGGGAAAATACTATATTTATTCAAGATGCAGAAGTGGGTCTCTGCAAACCTCCGATTGCTTCAGGAAAACAAATCTGCTTTAGACTATACAGAAACCATGATACAAAATTTATTTCATGCTAGAATCGCTTTGCATAACATTGGGCATGCAGTTTTTTACTCTGAAGTACTAAATTGCATACAATGCCAGGTTGTGCCTTAATAAAGGTGGAGGAGGGCCGCCCCTCCCGTGGTCCTGATCTTTTGGTGCTCTAAAGTAACACTCGGAAGTTCCGTACGAAGTAACACTCGGAAGATCCGTACGGTGTGGATTATTTACTATGAACAACTTGTTATGAGAGCTGGTCACACTGGGTCTACACACCAAGAAGATGATAGAATCAACCTAGACTAGCCGCTGTCAGGGGTCTTGGGGAGACATCCGCTGGGTCACAAGCATGCCAGACAGAGGGAAGAAAGCAGCAGTGCGCGTTTCCACAATTCTATTTGGAGCAAAGTTCTCAGTTTCCGTGTGAGAGATGCGCTATGAAGGTGAGGTCAATATGACCAATGACTGACCGACTGCCCTTTTTGGAACCTTGACTCTCAAGCTCGCGTACAAAAAGGGAAGCCATCCATTCCCCATCCCCATCCCCACCCCCACCCCCCGCTCCCAGAAACGTACAGGTTTCTACCAAACGCCGTTACAGTCTGGCTCCAGCAACGTGTATAAAAGTAAAGAGCTTTGAAAGAAAATAGAGGACTTTTGCTTTTTTTTTTTTTCTTGTTGTTTTTGTTTAGGGTGATCGTTACAGTTGCAGGAGGTTGGTGGGTTTGGTTTGCTGGGTTTTCTGTTTAACTTCATGCAAGTCATGCTAAGGAACCCCTCCTCCTCCCTCCCCGAATAAAATAAAATGTAAAAAAAAAAAAAAAAGAGAGAGAGAGAGAGAGAGAGAGAAAGAAAGAAAGAAAAGAAGGAAAAGAAATCCTCTACGGTCAGTTACCATTTGGCCGTAGAAAAAGCTACGTCCGTCCTAGTACAAGACCTGGGCCACTCGGACTCGTCCGGCAAACCTGCATGGCGTGAATTTACTCTGTCCGAGGGTGAGGAGGGGCTGCTGGTCCACCCAGATGCTTAATAGCCACCAGTGTCCTCGGCCAAGCCGCCTGGTCAAGTCACTCTCACAGCCTCTGTCGGCATATACTTAGCAATGACAGGGCTTTCTTTGCAAAGATCTGTATGTAAAGAATACAATTAACACTTGAGCTTCTCTTCTTGGCTTTCCCATCCCGCTTGGTACTTAGTTTTTAAGGAAGGAGGAGGAAAGACAGAACAGCCGCATGCAGAGGCAGGCAGAGTCTTCTCCAGCTGGCCTGGTGTTCCCATGCAGTGAGCCGGCCCAGCGCGCCTCTCTTTCTCCCTCCTGGGGACCGGGTTGAGTCCCTAACTTTCCTACTCTGCATGTGGCTGAGGCACTGCAATTCTCCTGAGAAAAGCAAGTCCTCAGCACTGTCATGACTCCATGAGAACAGGGCCGGGTGGATGGGGGCGGGGGCACTTCACCCCTGGTGCCTCCCAAAGACTCTGGCACCCCCGTCTCTGTGGGACTGGGCAGCGGGTCCCACCTGTGGACGGTGGCTGCCGCTGGGCTCCCTCGGCCACTACAGGGAGATGGGGCTTCTTCTGTCCCACTCTCCCTGGGCTTCTGGAAGCACAGTGAAGAGACTCTCCTGTCTGCTCTTTCAGGTCACCCAGATTGATCCAACATTCAAGGTGAGGGAGACAGGCAGCCCTTGAGAACTTACCGGGCAGAGCACAGCCACAGAGCCTCCCTGCTTTCCCCCTTCTTTCCCCTGGGCCACCCCTGCTCCTCGGACCCTAGAGCCTCCACCCAGGAGAAAGCCAGTTGCGAAGGGGAGCAACGGGCCTATCCATGGAAGGTGCCAAGGATGGGCCCGCCTCAGGCCCGCAGCCCTCCACCATGCAGCACCATGCGGGCAGCAGTGTATGCCACACTGGGGTCCGAGGGACCTCCAGGCAGGGCAAGGAAGCGGGGGCCAGCTTGGATCAGGTGGGCACACTAAGCATCAGTGACCAGAAGGACTTCCCCATCTCAGCGTAGATGCCTCTCCTCTCCTGGGTTTGGGTTGGCCCTTTATTTTAAATTCTGTGTTTTCTCCTTGTGTATTGTTGAACCGCTTCAAATACTGGAGCAGTTGTGAATGGCCACAGGCTACACCAACTATTGCTCTAAAAAAACCAACTATGGCTCCTGCCCAACCTACTTGCTCCGGTCAGCATGCATCCCATGTGAGCATGTGAGGCACTCCCAGACATGCATGAGTTGCCCAGCCAGTCCGATTGGCCAAGGATGGCTTCCTCTACCTTCCAGGCCAATGCCCGAAGCCTGGAGCTAGGGTGCTCTGGGCCCCCGCCTCAAGCTTCTCTCCAGCCCATGCTCAAGCTCTAGGAGAAGTCTTCGCCCCAGGGGGTCAGCCTCAGGTAAGCGTCTGATACAAGGAGACCTTGAACAGAGGCCACCGTGGAGCTCAGCCTTCACCAACCACAAGGGGGCGCTAACCACACCCGGGGCCGTGACCAGGGATGCAAGGTGCTGCACAGAGTCCTGCTTAACCTTCTCCCCGCGAGTTCTCTGCCACTAGCACTATTCTGACTCGCACACATCTTACCTCTGCAATGACACTGGCCTCACCCCCAAGCCCTGAGGCCACCTCTCTCCATGCCTCCCCTCCCACTGGCCTACAGATTCTCTTTAAAGGGTGCTCTTCCAGCTCATGGATCTTGGGTGGCTAAGCCCACAGGGTCCTGGCCAGGCCAGGCCCACCCTGTTGCTCTCTGCAACCAAGGGACAGGGGAGATCACTTTGCCTTCTTGGTCTCACCCGCCATCTGCCGGAGCAGCCTGGAGGGGTCAAGGCTCCCCTCACATCCCCAGGTGACCCCCTGCATGAGGGTCACAGACCCGTAGTCATCCAGCCTGTCCCCGAACACCCCTTCCTACCCCTCAGCTCAGTTCCAAACCCAGCTGCTGGGACCTCAAGTTCTCTCTGCCAGCCTGACATCCCACTTGGGAGAAAGGGACTCAGACCTCCAGAGACCACCCCGGTGGGGGGCTCCTTCTTCTCTTTGCCCCCCTCAGCGTGCCTGCCTGCCCCTCAGCACCCCTCCCCCGCCACCCCACCCGCCCACCTGCAGGAGCGCGAGGCGGCCCAGCTGATGCAGAGTGCCCCCGCCTCCCCTACATACCCTTTCTCATTCCTCCACCAGGTGGGCACGCGTACTCCCCGGTTGATAAGAGGAAGCAGGGTCCGTATCTCTCGCGGGTGCCCGAGCGAGTAAAGGGCAGGCCCTCATCAGGAGTGAGGGCCTGGTCTATGTGGGGGCAGTCTTCGTTCGCCAGCGCGGCCTTCGCCACCTCCCCATTCAGTTTGGAATCTTCAAACATATAAGCAGAAGCTATTGAGACACTGAAAACTGTTTAGTGGGGGAGGGGGACAGGCCAGAGGTGGGGCATTGGCAAAGGGCAGCCTGTCCCTGGGGACAGAAAAGCGAGTGGGCCGTGGAGGGAGGCACGAGGCTACGGGTCCCCAGCTCATTCGGGCAGCCTGTGGGCTGCCCACAGTGCAGGGAAGCGGGGGGCTCCTGGGTTTGCTCAAAGTTTGCAAAAAGATGAGTTGGTGATGGGTCCAGCAAGCGCAGTGCTGGGGGCCGGGCCCAGGGCCCAAGGCAGGGCCGATGAGACAGGATGGTGTGGATGCGGTCATGGGTAGGGGGCCAGACACAGAGCTCAGGGAGAAGACAGACAGACACGCAGAAAAACTCCAGTCCAGAGAGGTGGCCTTTTCAGACCTCTCTCTCTTGCTGACCAGAGCCTGGCTGCAGGCCATCCACATCTAGCTAGTTCCTCAAGGCTTCCCTAGCACTATCTAGACCCCATCTATCAACTCTACCCCCCACTGAGGGATCCCACCTCATCACACACTTCACACTGTCCTCCACACATACCCTAGCTCATCGCTCGTCCTGCCTCCCACCCATTTGGATTCAACCTGGTCACTCCGTATGCCCCACCCCCCACACAGACCAGGCCTGGTCACTCCGTATGCCCTGCCCCCACACAGACCAGGCCTGGTCACTCCGTATGCCCTGCCCCCACACAGACCAGGCCTGGTCACTCCGTATGCCCTGCCCCCACACAGACCAGGCCTGGTCACACAGTCTCCTCTGTCCCCACACAGGCCCAACTCAACCATTCAATCTGCTCCATCCCCCACGCAGACTTAAGCTGGTCACTCAGTCAGCTCCGGTCCCCCACACCAATCACGCCGGTGTCGGCCATCCCGTTCCGCCCGCAGCGGGCCTGGTCAGCTTGCAAAGGCACAACAGGGATGTATGCATGAGGCAGTGACAGCAGGCCATGATTCGGGAGGGCCTCCCATTCCTCTGCCTCCTCACAGCAGCGTCCCGGCAAAGCAGAGCAAATGGACGTGTAAAGACAACAGTGGCGGATGGACTTGGGCAGGTAAAGAGTCTTGGCGTCTGCGACAGCCTGGGAAGGAACCTGGGAAGAGGTATGAGGACACATCTGGTGGGGGGCAAAGTGCGGCCAGAGCAAGGAGCTCTCCCTTTCCCAAGTCCAGGAGCAGAGGTGCGCAAGCTTCTGGAGCTGGCAGAGGTAGCTCTGTCTGACCTCAGCTCCCGCCCAACACTCTTGGGGACTGAGCCTGCCCCCTGCTCTCCGCCCTCAAGGCAGAATCTTCCAGACCAGGGTGGAGCAACTCAGTCCCCACGGTGGGCCCCTGGGGGCTTCCTCAGAGACTTCATCTGGGGGGAGAGCCTCAGGGGAAAGCGACACCAACATGGGTGTGAACACAAGGGGGGGGGCTCTCCGAAAGACTAAAGAGGGGACCCTCCTCCATGACCCTGTTCACATCATGTAACTACACGCACGAGTGATCCTTCTCCACGTGCACACACTCAGCGTGCCTGTGGGTGGGATCACGGCCCGTGTACACATCATGTCACTACAAAGAGGCAGTCAGTCAAAAGAGAAATGGACCAATCAGGTTTATTCGTAAAGCAAATCCAAAAAAAAAAAAAATCCCATCATAATTTTGGAACTTAAAAAAAAAGTCTGTCGTACAAGATGGCAAAGCATTTCACGTACAGTGCGTTTCTTGACAAATCCCAGGGGCTTCGCTCCCCGATTTATTCTGAACCAGAAAGGCCAGTTACCAAGGTAACTCTGACACCACGTGCCTGGGGCCTCTCTGGGGTCTGGGAGCTGCCTAGCACTTGGGGCGTGTCTGTGGGCACACACGTGTGCGCACAGACAAGGCCCGGCCTGCCTCCCATTCTGGCTGGCCCCTGTCTTCCCTCCCAGGGGAGGGGCTGAGGGAAGAAGGCAGCGGGGAGAGAGAAGGGAAGGAGTATCTGGGAGGTGAGAGTGGAGGAGGATGCGGAGCTGGGGCTCCCAGTACCCTGCACAAATTGTCCTCAAGGGGAAAACAGCGAGTCGTACCCAGCAGCCTCTCGATCTGGGAGGGGAGCCAGGGTTTGCTGTCTCCCTGTTGGCCATAGTCTGTCTGTCGGTGGAGGTATCTACAGCCGCTAGTTCTGGGGGTGGGTCAAAGGTGGGTGGTAGAGCCTGACAGCCCTCCTTTGGCTCTGAGTGCTGAGCCCCCTGCCCACCGGCTCTGCCCCTTAGTGCCCTGCCCCTGGAGAATGGAGCTCCCTGGGCCTTTAAAGGGTCCCAAGTTGGGCCGGTTTTCCCTACAGGGGCTGGGGGCAGGGGCAGCCCTCAGGCATCCCAAGGTGGGTGTGAGCTGGACAAAGCCTCCAGGACACCCCTGGGGCATGCTGCTCCTCTCAACCACGGTGACCTTTGAGGGGAAGCTATGACTGGGTGGGTGTGTTCAGGTCTTGTTCTGTGAAGGAGCCAGCCTCCCTAGGCAGGTGGCTTATCTGCGGTTTGGGGTGCTCTCGGAAACTGGGAGCATTCTCCCTCCCCAACTCCAGAGGGGTGGCTGGAAGAGAGAGAAACCAAGGAGGGGCCAACTCTGTAAACCTGGGGAACCCGTGAAGGAGGCCAGAGGTGCCAGTGCACCCAAGCCTCCCTGCCCTCCTGCCCCCACCCTGTTCTCCCCCCGGGAGCCTTGGTTCCCACCCACTCCCCAGAAGGCTGTGAGCCCTGCCGGCCCCTCGGCCCCCACTCGCCCCGCCGGCCTGCAATGATGAAATGACAGCATGGGCAGCGTCTCACGGAGATGGTTTCCAGGCTTTGAAATGGGCTGAGATAGATGAGCATCTGCAAGAGGGTCATTTTTTTTTAAACTTTGGAGCAAGGAGAACCCGGTGTCTGGGCCCTTGGCCAGCGCGGCTGGCTTTTCTGCCCTGCTCTCTGGGCAGCGCCGACGTACTTACTGTTCACACCAGCAGCGGGCGCCAGGCGGGGGTGGGGGGGGCGCACGCCGGACTGGGGCGGGGGGTGGTTTGCTGGGCATTTCCTTGGGTTTAGCCCCGAGGGGTCTGCCCAGCGGGGGGCTCAGGGAAAAAGTCCCAGGCTAAGTGGGGACAGTCTGTGAGAGACATGAGCAGAGTATAATCACAAGAACTGGCACAAGTCATGCAACAAAACGAGGAGAGAGAGAGAGAGAGACATGATTAGTGAAGAGAGAGAGAGAGAGAGAGAGAAAATGTGAACAACACAGAAAAGAGCACCCATGCCTGGCCCTCAGAGCGGGTTCGCTTCCCTACTACTCCCCGCTCGGCCCGCCCGGGGGCCTCGAGGACCCCACTCCGGACCCCCCGCTGCCCACCCTGGCCCTCTATCCCGAACAACAACTCAGTCAGCCCATGTGGAGGGCCCCTGCCCACACCCTGTCTGTCACCTCTGCCCACTCCTGTCACCCTCCCTGCCCCGCGGACTACCGCCCCTCCCAGCAGCCACTGCGGCCCGGCCGGGGAAGGTGGAAGGCCAGGGCGGGGGGCGCTGCACACTCAGCTGCTCAGGGGAGACCCTCCCTTCAGAGATGACCCAGAGGCTGCAGCGGTGGCTCCTGAGGAGCCCAGGTAGCACTTTCCCTGGGACTTCACGGCTGCCCTCCATGCCAGTGGGCAAAAAGTGGGCCTGGCCCCCAACCCTCCCCCATGCCAGCATCCTGCTCACCTATGGTGGGACTCCACAGCCCCAGACGCAGCACCACAGAGGACCAACCCATATCACAGGAGCAGAGATGGACAAGACACACACGTGGATGGACATGGCAGGACAGAGGGAGCAGTCCTAGCTGTCCAGAGCAGGTGGTCTAGGGCCCCGACTCTAGATGGGGGAGGGAGACCCTTTCTGGGAGACAAGCAGCTTCTCCTGGGCCATCAGCCCCAGGCAGCCCCTGACTATGTGGGGTGCCCTCCCGGCATCCCCCTGGGAGGCTCTACAACCCCCACAGGACAAATGCCCCAAACATGGAGGCCATGACAGCCATGGTACAGAGGAGGAGACCAGATCATCCCTCACAGACACACAGACCTGAGGCTCCAGGACAGACCAGAGGTGGAGGTGAGGGACAGTGTTTCTGACACGACTGAGAGGCCTTGCTTGAGTCCTGGGGGTCTGGCCCTGGGGGGTGTGGGGTAGGGGATATCCCAGAGCCCAGCAGGCTACATCTAGCCTTAAACCAGATTCTAAAAGTGGAACTGGAAAACCCAGATTTTGTTGAGGCCACCTGACTGTCCTTGGGGGTGGAGCGAGGCTGGAAAGGCCTTGGGGGCTGTGTCTTACCTCTCTCAATTCTCGTAGGGTCAGATCTCCACCCACATTTGCCTTCCTCACCTCTGGCCTCCCCCCAACTCACTCACAGACACCCCCATACCCATCTAGGTATGTGGCTGCAAGCAGAGAAGGAAGCAAATGGGAAGGGACTCCGTAATGCAGAGATGGAGGTCCCTTAAGGACCACACCCCTTGGTGCTGGATCATCTGGGTCTCACACACCAGCTTTTGGAAGGAGGAGTGTTCTGGTGAGAGAGGAGGCTCAGGGGGTCTGGGAGCCAAGGTGGACAGGTCTGAACGGCAGGACAGCACCTCCAGGGCAAGTATTTGGGAAGGGAGGGGGGGCAGAGTGTGGGGCTGGGGAGAGAAAGGCAGGAAGGTCTGGGCATCTGGGCTCCTGAGGGCAAGCTTGGGAGGCCCCCAAATCCCACCCCAGCCAGAGACTGCCCGAGCTCAGAGCTCTCTGGGTCCCTGCGATCTGGGGCCAGGGGCCAGGAGGCTCCTGGGAGCAGGGCTGCCATGGCTGGGGGGCCCAGGGAGTCCACCAGGAGTTGAAAGGGCTTCGCAGGTCTGCTGCAGCATGGGAAGAGGGCTGTGTCTCTGGGACTAGCTGGTGTGCACGTCAGAACACACACGTCTGTACTTGGCATACGCGTGCATAGGCACGCGTGTGTGTATGTGCATGTGTGTGTGCCTGTGTGCACACTTGCGCATGTGTGCATGTGTGTGCCCTCAGCACATGGAGAATACTGGCATTTTCTAGGAGGACAGAGGAATCTGTGCCTGACTGGCGTGAACTGGGGATCCTTGGTAGGCCGGCCTGGGCACCCAAGCTCGGGGCACTGATCCTGATAGATCCACTGTTGGAAAGGATGTAACAGAAGGGCCAAGTTGCGCCATGGTGATGTCACCCAGCTTTGAGCTCTTCCTGCTGGGGCCTGGAGTGAAGGTGGGGGCTAGGCCAGCCCAGACCCTCCCCAGAGCCCCAGGAACTTTCCTTGCCATGATGGTGGCTCCTGAGGTCAAACGTCCACCTAATCCAAAGCAGAGAGGTGGGGCGGGAGCTTTCCACTAGCGTGTGCCTCCCCTACTGAGCAGGAGCCATGCCTTGGTCAAGGGGCCCAGCCCTACTTCAGGCCCCCTGTTCCAGCCTCGGAGACCCTTGCCCACCCCCTGACCCAGCCCGGGACACTAACCACACTTTTCTTGAGTGCCTCCAGGAATCCAGGAAGCAGGGAGGGGTATGGGACCAGATGAAGGGGCAGGAGACCGCCCACGGGTAGAGAAGTGGGTCTCGGGGGTACTGCGCTAGGCAGCACAGGTGTGGAATGAAGCCAGATTGGGAGGAGGATGGGGTGGTGGGCGCATCAACAGGAAAGAATCACTCATCCACTGGGTGAGGCCACCCAAACCGAGGGAAACTTGCTCATCCAGGGCTGAGCTAGCTTGCCAGACCTGGGCACGGGGACGTCCTCCATAGACTAAATGCTACCTGTCACTCACTCAGCCTCCCTCACCCCAGCACCTCTTAGTTCAGTGTTGCCATTCTTCTCTGGGTCATTCATTTCCTTGAAATCCCTGTGTCCACAGAATAAGTCGATGGTATTCCATGGGTAGAGGTAGACTATGGGCTTTTTATCTTCGGACCAGAGCCCCGTGATCAACTTTATGTGCTATGTGCAGGTTCTCATAAAACTGAGATAGTCCCATAACAAACCACTAGCCATGGAATATGAGAATATATCCCACAGTGACTAGTATTGTTTCGTGGCCCCCTCCCCCCCCCCCCCCAACTGAATTCACGGGAATGTGGCTGCACGCTGGTCTGGATGTCGCCTATTGCTGCTGCAGTCCCTACTGCCAGACATGGGGAGGACCCTCGGTGGGAGGCGGCTGCTCGTCTGTAGTGCTTTCGTCTAAGCTGCCCGGGGTGGTGGGCCCCTCTCGTCCTTTGTTCACCAGCCGCTTCCATCAGAAGGCCACCGGAAACTCCCACTCGACCATCAACCCAAACAGACAACGTGAAAGCTAGAGTCGCTCCAACAGTTTCCTAAAGATAAATGCTAAACTCGAGAGTGGTGGTAGAAGATGAGTTGGTTCGGCATGCTATGGGGTAAGTAAGCTTGTGACGGAGGGCTACAGGCGTCTCCTAGGATGCACCTGGAGCTAGGCAGCCGGAATCAGAGCTGGAGTTCTCCTCAGTTGTGGAGGCAGGCTCTGTTGGGGCTGAGAATCCTTGCTACTGCCTTTGCAGGGACCCTCCTGCCCGATCCCAGGCACCAGCTGTGCTCTCTGCACAGCCTGAAGGGAGCTGAGGAAAGACCAAATCGGAAGCTGTCTGGCATTTCTGAATGACACCCACCCCTGCCCTGCCCCGGCCCCAGGACAGTGGCCTGAGTCAGAGACTCACGCTTGCCTCCTGCCCACTGAGCAGCGGCCCCCTGGGCTCCTGCTAAGAGAGTCCTCAGCAACCTCGCGGGCCACGTCGTCTCTTCCGAACCTCATGAGACCAGCGCGCCAACCTCCTTACCCAGGGCCACCAGTGAGGTTCCTCCAGCAGGCTCTCGCCTTGTGAATTTGGCTGCCCAGCATCTCCCTGGGCCCCCGGGCTCCACACCTCGAGACTGAGTGCGGGGTCCCGGGTTGCCCACGGAACTAAGGAAGCAGTCTGACTGAATCTGGAATCATCGCTACGGGGGGCGGAGGTGAAAGGTCAGATCGACATGCCTCTAAGAGGTTTCCTACCTGCTCTGTTAATTTCTAAAATTTCTTCCTGGGCCAGCGGGCATGTGTCACTCTGAGTACTGTGGTGTGGAGAGTTTACGACAGATTTACAATAATTGGGAGATCCCAGCTGCGGTGGCCGTGGAATATGCTTCTTTTTTTTCTTTGGTAGTTTCTGCTTAGCCATGGCTAAGGAGTAATACATCCCAAAATTGTTCACGATGACGGGCACCGGCATGGCGATGGTGAGCACGCCCGCCAGCGCGCACAGCGCCCCCACCAGCATGCCGGACCACGTCTGCGGGTACATATCTCCGTAGCCCAGCGTCGTCATGGTGACCACGGCCCACCAGAAGCCGATGGGGATGTTCTTAAAGTGGGTGTGCTCACTGGCGCTGGGGTCATTGGGCTGTGCCCCTATCCTCTCGGCATAGTAGATCATGGTGGCGAAGATCAGGACGCCCAGGGCCAGGAAGATGATGAGCAGCAAGAACTCATTGGTGCTGGCGCGGAGAGTGTGGCCCAGAACCCGCAGGCCCACAAAGTGGCGGGTCAGCTTGAAGATGCGCAGGATGCGCACGAAGCGGACAACACGCAGGAAGCCCAGGACGTCCTTGGCGGCCTTAGAGGACAGGCCGCTTAGGCCCACCTCCAGGTAGAAGGGGAGGATGGCCACAAAGTCAATGATGTTGAGCGAGTTCTTGATGAACTCTACCTTGTTGGGGCAGAAGACGACACGCATAAGGAACTCAAAGGTGAACCAGACCACACAGACGCCCTCAATGTAGGTGAGGAAGGCCTCCGTCTCTGCTTCCCGGTAGTAGCGCACTTGTGTGCCGTTCCGAACATTCTCGATCTCTGTCTTGTTCACGATGGGGTTGAAGCGCTCGTGGGTCTCCAGGCAGAACGTGGTGATGGAGACCAGGATGAAGAAGAGGGAGGCAAAGGCCACATACTGTGGAGGAGAAACACAGTGTCAGAGGGAGGCCCTCCCACCCAGAGCAAAGCAACCTGGGGTACCTTGGCGTTGGGTCCAGTCAGAGGCCAGGCCAGGGGAAGATGCCTGCTCAGCGTCCCCTCCAACACGGGCCAATCTGATGGGCCACCTTTCCCTCCTCAGAGCACCGAGTTAGGAGGCTCAGGGAGGTAAGAAGTTGCGGCAGGGATTGCTTTATTTTCACAATTGCCTTTCCTTTCCTCCTGGATGCACAGCTCGACTCCATTTGCCAGGCTTCCTTGGGGGTTAGGTGGGGTCACGTGACTGGCCAGTGGCCAGTGCATGAAAGGGGAGTGTGCTAATGACAGGCCTGGCACTTAGAACTTATCTACTCAGTCTTCTAGGCCCCCTTTCCTCCCCCAGCTGCCAGTTGCATGCTGACACCCTGGGGGCCACTAGGGCCCCCACAGGGATGTAGCCTCAGTCCCTGAAAAGGAAGATACCCACTAAGTCCCTGAGTGGGAAATCAACTACTGATGTGGTAAGTCACTGTGATTTGGGGGTGACTTAGTAAAGCACTTAGCCCACTCTGAGTAATAAAAGTGACCTCGCCTGCTGAGGCTGAAGGTGGCAAAGGAATGAGAAGGGGCAACTCACCTCCCACCACCAGCTTGGAGGTGGGTTCCCCATTCTTGGAGTTACTGAAATAGAGGCTAAATGTTCATTTGTCAGGGATACTGTGTTGCAGGTTCAGCATCAAAAGGAGAATTGGACTGGGGGTCCTCAAAAGCACCCAAACCACAGGGTCTGCTTCTCTCCTGCCAGGTAGGGGAGTGGGTGGGAGGGAGGAAGGAGTTGCTGGAGGGCTGGGGCTTTCCAAACATATGCGGCTGCCTCCTCGTCTCAGACCGCATCAGTGAGAAGGAAATGGCGGGGATGACCCAGCCTGTCCAGAACCACCTGAGCCCCTGGAGAAAGGTTCAGGAGCTCCTTTGGTTTTGTTTGGTGGCCCCATCTGATGACCCTGGGCTTCTCTAGCCCCCAGCAGACCTCAGTACCTGAGGAAAGAGAACTGAGCAGCTATCTGTCCTGCTAGACTAAATTCCAGGCAAGGCCTCTTCTTACAGCCTCCAGTTGGGTCCCCCAGAGCTCCAGAAGAAACCCCAGCCAGTCAGTTCTCCTCCAGGAGTCCAGTTGGTCATCCCTGCTTGCATGTTCCCACAGATCCCCCCGCCTCTGGGGCCCCTTCTCCCAGGCTGTGCTAGACAGACAATGTCCGGAGCAAGGCCATCTTCTGGAAGCAGCCCCAGGCTACAGTCAGGATTGGGTGGCTCCTGTGTTCTCCAGAGCTGCCCTCAGGAAGAACTTCAAGGAGGGCCAAGGCCCTGCCCTGTAGCCACAACAAGAGGCAACCGTGCTGCTCTTAGCAACTCTGCAGTCTGCACAGATGCATCCCCCACCCCTTGTGGTGGCAGTCGGTGTGGGGGCAGCACTGGAAGTCCAAGAACAGCCCTGTCTGGGTTGACCATAGCCATGGGACCTGGCACCTAACCTGGCATGGATCTAGAAACCAAGAACTATGTGGACCTTTCAAGGAACATTCTGGGTTGGGGGAAGGGGAGAGCAAAGGGGAAGGGACAAAGACAGCATTTTAGAATGTCAGAGTAAGAGAAGCCTTTAGATATTATCTGGTCCAAGACACTACATGCTACAGATGGGAAGCCTGAGGCCCCCACACAGGAACATTATGCTATGCTCATAGTCACTGCACGCTTTTCAAAAATTTTCTCCTAGACTACTATCAGGTATGATCCCTGTGCCTCCTTGCTTCCATCCACTGATCACTCGTTGATCCCTCCTTCTTCCCTTTCTCCCTCCCTCCCATCCTCCCTTTCATCCTCATATTCATTACCCCCTCTTCCCTCCTCCCTCCCTCCGCTCCTTCCTTTCTTTGTTCCTCCCTCCCTCCCTCCCCCTTCCCATCCATCATGCATGCATTCGTTCCTCCCTTCCTTCCTCTCTTGTCCTTCCCTCCTCCCTCCCTCCTTTCCTTCTTCCCTTTCTTCCTTCCACCTGCCTGCTCATCCATCCATCCATCCATCCAACCTTCCAACCTTTCTTCCTTCCACTCTTTACAGCCACCAGGTTACGGCCAGCAGAGTGGAGTAAAGCCTCAGCCTTGAGGAGCTCCCTGCCCCGCTGAGGGTAAAGGACACACGCAAAGACAAGTCCAATGCAGTGGACTGAAAAGAGAAGCTCCCGCAGCCCTGTGAAGTAGGTGGGGTTTGGACAAGGTGGGGCAGGGTCAGGACTAAGCCAGGTCTTCCAACTCCAGAAACAGCGCTCCAAGGGTCCAGATAGCGCGGACCTGGGTCACCCCAGAAGTGGAGGAGGAAAGCAAAGTGGAAGCAACCATGAGAGGCCACCACCTCTGACCCACGTTTATCCAGCTCCAGAGCTCCTTCCATCACCAGAGTGGCCAAAGCTCCTGGAGCTAAAAACATTACAAAATGCTGGGTATTTGCCTCCAGGTTTCCTCTGGAGGGCCCCGTCTTAGGGCTTGGCATTCACCGGATCCCAAAGGGCAGGTCCTGCCCCTGCTCTGGACTTTGTGAAAGAGGAGAAGAACATGCACAGCATAAGTGTCCGAGGAATGCCGAGAGAGGAATGCATCCCTGGGCTCCCCATCCTGGCCAATGGCAGGAGGCATGAGGCACCTCCCCTCCTCACTGCCCCATCAGCCATGGCATCCCCCTCCTAAACCCTCCCCCATCTATCCTTCTCTGTCCCCTCTGCTCACACGTGACCCTCTCTCAATAGGACCACTGCCATCAAAGCTAGCAGGCTTCAGGCTTAGAGTCTCAGCTGCCAGTCCAGTCTCCATACAGCTACCAGAGGGAGCAACCCATTGGCATCCCAGCTCTGCCCAGGGCCCCTGACCACACTGCCCACAGAGACACAGGAGACGCTCTATGCCTGGCCTCCCTGACTTCCGAGGGCTCTCTCCCTACCCGCACCCAACATTCTTGCCACGTGCAACTCTCGGCCATTTCTGACCCCCCTCTCCCTGTCTCCCCCTCATCACCGTGTCTTTGTACCTCTGGAAAAACCCATTCATCCCTCAGGAACCCACTAAGTAGCCTAACTCCTGGGACCCTTTCTCCAGGTGAGGCTCCTCTCGGAGCTGAGGCCCTAACGAGGCAGCAAATGAAGGGACCCTCCAAGAAGTCTCTAAATTCACCCCCAAGGAGGCAGCAAGCCTGTCTCCAACGCTGGATCATTAGCGCTTGGGGAGGCTCATGGGAACAGCCCCGACAGGGCACTGATGTCCCAGGTGCCCCCACAGGCCCGCAGAGCTCTGACCCCACCTGCCCCTCTCACAGGCCAGTTCTGATAGGAAAACTGAAGCCCTGAAAGAGGGCAGCTCTTATACAATTAGGGTAGGAAAAAGTATTGGTTCTCAGCAATCAATGGAACATCCTGCCTGGGCCCCAGTGCCCAGGGAGTTGGCGGCGGGGGGTGGGGGTGGGTGGGGGAGTAGGGGTGTGGCAGCCGCAGTCCAGCCCAGAGCCAGGCACTAGGACTCCTTTCCTGGGAGGAGGCGAGGGTAAGTGGAAGCCAGGTGGGCTGCCCTGCCTCAGCTCCCCAGGCACCTGCTGGCTTTGCCTTTGCTGCCGGTAGGCCTGGTCCTCGGTCACAGGCTGGGCCCCGGTAACATCCGGGCCCCGAGGAAGGCTCCTAAGAGGGCTGTGGAGGCAGGAGCCCCTGGCTTGCTCAGACTGCCACATTCTCCCATGCCCAGAGACCAGCAGGCCTGCCAAAACAAGAGCTCACCCCCAGCTGAGTCTCAGCTCCCTTTGGTCCATCCGCAGGGAAGCTGAGCTCAGGAAGGAGAAAGCAGTAAGCTACCAAAGCTAAGGACTCACTCTGCACCTTTAGGCCTCTCACTGACCTAGTGAGACAGTGGTCCTACCCTATTGTGCCAAAAAGGAAACCCAGGTACACAGAGGTCGGGGAGTAAACCAAGGGTTCAGAGCTAGTGATGAAGCTGAGGCTTGGACCCAAGTTCATCTAGCTCTAGAACTTAAAATCTTTCCACCAGCAGAGTTGCCAAAGCAACTGGGTAGTTGGCCCTGCGTCTCAGAGCTTGGCACCACAGCTCAGACTCCCTGAGGGCAGGTTATGCCCACTCCCAGTCAGTGAGAGAACTGGGGTGCCTGACTACCCAGGCTGGAGCCCAGCCATGCCTGAATTGTTCTTGGGTCGGCCCAGCTGCCCAGGACTTGCTAGCTCCCGGGGTAACAGCAGCCCAGGGGCGGAGAGGATGCCCTCACCTTACTCAGGGAATCACTGCCGAAAGCAGCCTTGGATGGGCTGGCCTGTGTCCCCACCTGGCCACCTCCTCACAGACCCAGAAAAGGGCAGGCTGGGAGATGACCCCCAACTTGTTCAAGGAGCTCGGCTAGAGGGACTGGGGAAGTGCATGGGGATGGGGCATTCCTGGGGTTGGCCGAGCCCTGGCAAGGAGCGACATTGGGAGCCACGTCTGCAGGATTGCTGGGCTGACTCTCCCATGACTGGAGGGGCTGTAGGGCCCGCACGAGCTGTCTGCCTCCCAATCCTCCGTCACCCAGAGACCACGGACACACACAGCTACCCAGAGTACACACCCCTTACCTAAGCGCATATGCTGCGCGAGCAGCCCCACACACTACAGCCCAGGGTCCTGACCACACATCCAGAGATGACACAGGGGCCATGGATTGTATGGAAACATGCACACGCGGGTGCACACCCCTGCAGTCCTCGTGCATGCACACCCAGAGCTCGCGGATGACGCGGCAGCCATCACCGCATAGCACACTCACTATGGATACAACAGAACCCAGGCACGGCCACCCGGCTAGCCCCTCTTCTGCCCACCTCACCCCTGCGGGTGAGCCTGCCTCCCTCTGCCTCCTTGGCCTTCCCCAACACCCTCAGCCTGCCTCCCCACGGCGACGGTGTCAGCGCCTGGA